TATTATTCAGTATATGACAGAAGTGTTTACCAGTCAGTAATCTACTTATTTTGAGGAGGAGTTATAGTAAGACGTAATTTCACGAGTTGAATGGTATATTTGTTTGCTCAAATCAAGGGACCAAATGTAAGACAATATTTAAGCATAGGCTGTAGTACATCACTCATTAAATGTAAGTGACTTTGAACTATTTGAAAATTGTTAATGTTTTTGCAATGAAGTATTATATCTTACTGATCTGAAATACAAGATTAAAACATAGCATGTGGACTGAAAACTTTACAACCTTACCAAGCATTGATTTACAGTTAATTACATTTGCACTGCTTCCAAAAATATGATTCATTTACATAATGATGTTGACTAATTATGTGCTCTTGTGCCTTGATAACTTTCACTGGAGACAACTGAGCACAAAAGGAAAAGTTGGCTTGCAGATATACATTTAAAAGAAAAGAAAGGAATGTTTGATATGCACTAGCCACAGTTTGCTATTTATCCATAACTACAGGTAACATTCAATCATTCATCCAAAGCTGAATACAACAGATTCCATTCAAACCCTACCATTTCACTTACAGACAAGGGGCTTGCAAAGGGTACCAATGACCCTCCAAATTCTTCTATACAGCAGTATGTAATACTTGAAATTATATACACAACAAAGAGACCTAATGTTTCACTTCATAAACTCAAAGGTGCAGAAAATACACAGGACTCTCTAAAATCAGAGTTTTGAAACATGTTATGATACATAAATTTGAAGAACTCCCATGTCTTGCGGAAGAATCCTCTGCATGGTGACAATAAAATGATCCGAGTACAAGGCTGTTTTATAACTTATATGTACACTAAAGTTCTCAAAATGAAACAACTTAAGTAACAGGATAAAAAATAACAATCCTCAGACCACTTCAAGCATCCAACGAGTTCCGGCTGTTTTGATAGAATTGCTGTCCAGAGATCAGTAAGGTGAAAATGTAAAGACATGCAGCAATCCAGCAGTTATACGCATTCTGAAAAAAAGAAAAAAAAAATAGTTTAAAAAATAGTACCATATGCATACAATTAGAATATATTGTTAATTTTAAAAAATACAAGAGACCTGTTGATAAGCACTGTCAGCAGCTGCATAAAACTCCTCCTGCGTTTCAAAGTTTTCTTCCATTACAGAAAGATCTTCTGCTAATCCAACGCTTTGCACATAATAAAATATTCCCATCAGCACCTGGAACAAGAAATCACAATAGCATTGAGTGTAGCTAACCTTCTGCCAAAAAATAAATTCAGTGCGGACCAACCCACTATTCTCCACTTGCACGAGCTTTGAGTATGCCACAAAATCTGCATTGCATGATGAATCGCACTTCACATATTATAACTTAAATATAACCAAGTCTCTACTCACACTACGGTAACAAAAACAAAATTATTATTTTTAATGATTACATATATACTACTGGACTTCAAAGAGAAAGATAAAAGAACTAAGAAAGACTGAACTACCTTCATGGCCAGGTAACCTCAACAGTAACCAGTCTGCTATTCAATGAATGTGTATGTGAGCATTCCAATCCTCAAAGCATTAAGTTCATTGTACATAAGTACATTTAAAAAGTAGGAAAACGACAGATAAATAACATTCTAAGAAGTGTTAGTAAAAATTACGAATGTACTGATATGACAGGTACATAAACCAACCATGTCAACACTTACCAGTTGAACGATGCCCCATGCACTGATGATTAACCCGCAAAGGGAGAGTTTAGGTCCACAGATTTTCAACATTTTGCCCAAGAGATACTGAAATAATGACTCTTTTTAAGGGCGAGGGCAGGTTTCCTGACCAAACCTTGTGATCGTTCTATTCTACCTTCACTTGTTCGTCATGTGACTGACGGATGGCGGATGGGGAGGGGGAATTGGAGGGGTTGGGGAGGGGGTACGTTCAAGAGCTTCAAGAGCACATTGCCTCCTGCAAAAGAAGGGAAAACCGGGAAAACTTGTTTCCACGCTGACTGCTACCTGCTACTTGCAACACAAGAGCTTGCCCCTGTTCAGTTCCTACGGGAAAATTACTGTCCTACGTTAAATATGTAGTTTTCAAATTTACTTTCGTATTAAATGGCACTTGCAGAAAAAAAATGTGTCTTTCGCCGGCAGGAGTTCCGATACGAAATTATAGTAAATTCCTTAACTTAAACAAACCAAAATCACGCATGGCCCTAGGTCAAACTGTTTCCTACAAGGCATTACGGACCATTGACCTCGGCGGTCGACCCGGATAGCCCAGAGACACCAACCACCCCTTTTGTATCGATCCCTCTCCAGCTTCGTAATGCATAATCTTTGTGCCTACTGTTTGGTTTGCATAACATAGCCCTTGCACTGCTCTACTCCACAGAGTGCGTGATGCCGGAACAGCTGGACCAAAGTCCCTGGTTTGGGCGATGATAGCGCCTGCGACCAGCTGGGTAGGCTAACCCGCCAAGCAGCCATGCGGGGCTGGCGGCGGCGGCCCGCCTTGTACCTTGAGCGCGCCGCAGGGGCAGGACGATTGTCTCTAGGCAGGACCGGACCACGGGCGACGCACACTGCAGGGGCGTTTACGACGTGAAAAGGAAAATTAAATCATACTAGATCCAATGAGTAATTCTTATCTCTCAGCCGATTACTGATACTATACATGAGGAGGGTATGGGTGATTCACGCCGTCTTATTTATTTTTTTCTGCTTATGCTGTACCGGATTCATGCGTGCGGACGGATTGCATACTCGCACGGGGCCATAAGGCCCCATGGCGAATGATGGAAGGCAAGCGCGCCCGCACGCCTGAATCTGGTACAGTATAGGCAGGAAATGAAGACGGCGCACTACGTTGCGTGTGTTGTGTGTGTGAGCGACAGGGTACAGAAAACAAGCCCTGAAATATATTGAGTTTGATTGTTACCTTTCCTTTTGCGATTTTCCTGTTTCTTCTATAAAATGTGTTCGGTTTTTGTCACCACTATAAAAACCGGATCGTGGACGTTCCAAACGAAACGGGCCAAAGCCGGTAATTAATTAATGCCACACGTGAGCACGTGCTTCAGCCGAGGCTTCAGCCCTGCCCCTGCGTGCTTTTACTTCCGTCATCGGGACCTTGGGTCGAGAAGAACGACGAGACGAGCGAGTTTTGGCATTGTATATCACAATAATTTATTGACAGATGAGAGGACGACAGGTTTGATTGAAAGGAGGATGGGGCGCTGCGCTCGGTGCCGCGCGGGGCCAAAGCCCGGGGCTGCGGGGACCTCGGACGGCGTCGACCTTCTCGGCCGGTGTCCGCAGGGTCGACGACGGCGAGGTGCGCGGCCCGGGTCCAGTCCTGCGCGGGGTGCGCGGCGCCAAGGGACACAGCCAAGTAAGGGTGTACGAAGAGTGGAAGCAGGAAGCCGAAGAGAGACAGAGGGGCGACCACCTCAGGGGGCGCAGAGGTCTGTCGCGGGTCCAGTCGGCTTGCTGCAGGCAGACAGCCTGAGCGCTCAGGGATGCAACCCTTTCGGGTCAAGACCGCCGGCCGGGAGGCGGGCGGGGCGGCGTCAGCAGCAGACGTCTCATCCCCGCCCGCCTCCGTCCACGCCAGCCACCATCAGAGCCGCTCAGCGCCTCAGGTAGGCGATGGGCAGGCCGTGGGCGATGGGCAGGCCGTGGAGGGCGATGGGGGCGGCGGCGTACTCGATGGGGGCGGCGGCCAGCAGGGGCTGGTGGTAGACGGGGGCGGCGGCGATGACCTGGGCGTCGGGGCCGTGCACCTGGGAGCGGGAGCTGGCGCTGGCGGCCCACGGGGAGTGCTGCTGGGCGGTGGACTCGTGGGACCAGGTGGTGGAGCCCGCGGTCAGCAGCTGGGCGGAGCTGGCGGCCACCAGACACGCGAACACGACGACGAACTGGAAGGATAGAGAGAGAGGGGCGCGGTAAACTCATCTGCCTGCGGGCATAAGTGAGCGCTGCGAAACACTCCTGGGGATGCGGCCGAGAGCAGTCGGAAGCGGGGAATGCATTGCGAGGTGTGCTCTCATTCAGAGTTCGGCTCCGGTCTACGACCTTGAGACGCAACCCAGACCTCGAGCAAGGCCAACTTCGGCCGGTTGCGGCCCGCGTGGCTATGGCGAGGCGGGCGGGCCGGGCGCTCCGAGAAATATCAAGAATGCACCCCCCCTCCCCATCTCTTTTCCTTTCCGGGTCCGAGAGCGATTTTAGTATTCGACTGACGCCCTCTGATTACGTTTGCTTCGAGTGAGCCGCGGCCACACCCGAGCACGGAATGACTGCGCGTCGGGAGCCTCATTGTCCGACGGATCACGGGGATCAAGGCCGACGGCGGCGCCCATTTCCCTGTTCCCGGTCAGACTATCCCCGCATGCCCATAAACTCACGCCGGCCAGCTGGAGGGGCCAATCAAGTAGGCGCCGCGAGTCGCATTGGGCTGACTTCCCTGGCGGAGCACGCCCGAACGATTTGTGGGACTTCCCTGCAGAGCTGTGGCATTAGCTCCGGTACACTAACGTTTGCCCGAATAAACACATTGATATTGCGGCACCAATCTAACAACTTTGGAAGCGTGTGGCCACTTTCAACGGCCGTCAGATCGAAACTACGCTCCCACAGCCCACAGGGTGCACCGGGTGTTTTTGTGCACGCGCCGGTGCGGTCGGGTTTGCCTACTCACAGATGGCGCCTTACGGGCAGAGGGTGTTCACGCGCAGGTGCCCGTAAGGCACCATGTCCCCTGTGAATAGGCAAACACGCCGGCGCGTGCACAGAAACACCCGACACGATAGAGTTACGGCGTGACCACAATGTGCTCACCTATGGCTGTTTTTCCCTAAATGCGGCGCCGCACTGAACGATTCGTACGAGAGAATGGGAAAATTGTTTAAACAAGAAAACTCGGTCTTGGGAATTCCCTTTGGCGATTGGACGCGATTACACCGGACATTGATACGATTGATACACGATGTGGCCATCTCAGTCTTACTCACCATCTTCATCATTTTGGAGGTTGGGTTGGGTTGTCTGAGCGACTCAGGGCAATATCTGCAAGCAGCAATGCGACTGATGCCGTGTGGAGCTCCGCCAGTCCTTATATATGATCGAGGCGCCGCCCAAAACCACGGCGCGCAGGGTGGGGCTCCTGTCCAGAGCTGAGCCGCGGGGCGAGGCGGGGCGGGGCGGGGCGAGGCGGGGCGCGGGAGAGCCGGCGGCCGGCGGCGCCCCGCCGTCCAGCTTCCTGAGTGCGCCTCCGCGTGGACTGGCGGAGCTGAGGCTATCCATTATGTTTATAGTGAGGAAGCAGCCGGGTCCCCAGAGCAGAGCACAGGTCGGATTGGACCCGCGAACGCACCCGACGCAAGGGCAAGGTCACGGTGACGAGTGTTGATCCCGCGGGCCGCCGGCCGGCCGGTGCGAGCGAAATTTTGTCGGCGGTTTTGTCTGTTTAGCAACGGCGTATGGAAAGCTTAGGGATCACCCAGAAAGTACGTCCGTCTTTTGCCGTTCCTATACTGCCCGGTTCAGCTAATGGAAGCTCTCCTAGCGCCTGATCGGTAGGCAACGTATTTCCTACAAAGCACGCGTGCACTGCTGGGTTGCCTACGCTGGCTTTCGCAGGCGCTGACCTCCAGAAATGTGACGAACGAAACTGGACGATCCCTTACTTCGTGCGCGATAGTGATAGGTGGCTTAAGATTTAGGACCCCCGCGGCCCAGCAGTGCGAGCTGAGTAGGATTTACATGTTTGTGTTCGTGGAGGAGAAGGCGGTGTCGGTCCTCGAGGCCGGTCCCGTTAGTGCACCCACAGGAGCGTGCTCCGGGAGGCTGTTGTCCTGCGGGAGTGCACCGAGTGCAGTGCCCTGCCAAACGGCCCTTCACCTCGCGTTCTCCGAAATGATCGGCCGTCCCCGCCGCCCCTCCAACCCCTCTCCTCCCCCCTCAGGGGCGGCGGGGGCCCCGGTCTTCCCTCTCGCTCACTCTCATGGTATGGGTCCGGTCGGAGGCCTCGGCGGACGCATCGCGTGATGGCTCTGCTGCTGGCCCCGCCCCTGAGCTTTCGTACAGCTCCGCCCAGCCCCGCCCAGCCCCGTCCAACCCCGCCCAGGACCAAACTTTATTCCAGGACGAGCGAAACGCAGCTCCCCGCGCATTGCGAGAGGTCGCCAATTCGTCTGACCTGATACACCGCGCGCCCTCCCGTTTCCTCTGTATCTGCATTCGGCAATCAGAATGAGGAGTGAAGAACATACCTACACTCCCAGAAATATTTTGCTTTTAATGAAAAGTCTTTTGCTGTAGTCAGCTGTTACATTTTATGCTTAAAATTAAGACAACGCTATTTTCCTTGCACAGGCAGGGTGGCACTTTTACCACCACGTTCTCTGTGGCGTAGGCACGCACCCGTAACAGCGAACAAGCATTGCATACGTTTTCTCATATCTGTTGAACTCTGGCACAATATCACTGTTTGTCAAGAAAACGTCTGGGCCTGAAAGAATAGTTCATAAAAATGTTAGCTTAAAATCAGAAAACGTTGCGGTAGTACATTATGATTCACCCTCACACCGGACTTACTGATCAGTCGATAATGTGTGACAGAATTAAGTACCCTCCGCCAGCCAAGTCGATGGGATGGTATCCTAATTGTGGATAGAAGTTAGATATAGCTCTGCGGGCCTCTTCTTTGACGGTCCTATTCTGACGCAATGTCTGGCAGAGTTAGCCTTGTTGATGCTCCATGTTTTGAGTTTCCGCATTAGGTGGACGATGATATTGCGACGTGAGCAGACCGCGCGTGCCGCCAAGCCTTGATCGGTTAGCAGTCTACGTTTCTCGATATTCTAAAGTGGGATGGCAGAATCGGGAAATTTTTCATTCATCGATAGAATCGCCCCCACAATGAACATTTCGCGAGTCCACGCGAGTTGGCGCTAGTGAAAATTCGGGTGTCAAACGTTCTCCTATTTCTGAAGTTCCCGCACGCTGGGCGCTCTGGGTGGGCCGGCGGCTTCACACAGCTGCGTGCCGGGCTGGCCTACCCAGGTCGTGGCAGGCGCTATCATATAAGGGGCGGCCCGTGGAACGTTCCACCTGTCTGTTTTCTGTCGCTTATGCTCTACTTAAGATGTTCATGCTATGTTATATTTCTAAAGCGTTCACGATTGTTGTCCTGCATTGAAACGAATTTTTTTCGATCCCCTCTGGCTGGGCTGTTTGGCGGCGCTCTTTAAAATACGCGCTCTGTCTAGCGCCATCTGCAGTTCTTTTTGTCAACCATTTGGTTTCCACCCCTGGAGAAAATCTAAATAGAAGGCTCTGAAAATGACGTTTTATTGATTGGTTACCCGAATGGCGGAAATTTTGTCTTAAGTCCAATAAAGTTATTTCATGAATACTCGTGAACATGGCCGCTTTGCCGTCGCCGACGCAGGTATTTTTTCATTATTTTGGGGTTGTTTTTAATCACCCTTACTCTTCTGGGTACTTTAAAACGCTTGCCACCGCAGAGGCTATGGGTCACCATGCAACCTCTTATTTCCTATATCAGTAGATATTTTGTTTGTGACAAATCCTCTAGCTGCTTATTAAAGTCATTGACATATTCTTATTACGTTTATTACTCATAATTTGTCCACACAGTTGTATGTATAGGACTCCTAAAGCAAGAATTTAAGGTCAAGTGAGGTGTCAGTATAAGTGATTTTGTAGTATTTTACGTTCGATTATTTTGTGTTACACCCTCGTTAATGTCTTAAGAATAACAGTTAAGCCTTGTCTGCACCTCAATTTTTAATCTATCTTCTTTACTGTGTGTGTTTCGTCGTGGGACTTCCGATGCTATTTGTTTGTCCTCTTTGAACTTACATGGGCGTTATTATTTTCTTGCAATGACATTTCATTCAATACCCACTTTGTGTCGAACCACGACTTAAATTTGCTTAGAGTGTTGTAAACGAAAGTCCCATCCTGTGAAATTACAGTCAAATGTGAGCTATTTGACGCGTTTCTTAACCCTTTACTACTTGTAAAACATTCTGTATAGGTTAGGTTCACACCCTGTCAGCTACCTGTCACTTTTTGGTGCACCCACTGAATCACTGTTTTCTCTCTGTTTTTGAAGGTGGCTGGGAGTCAGTATGGCATGTATGAAGCTTATTATCGAATTGTAAGTATCTGTGGTATCTACCTGTAACACTTTTTACTGTTTCTTGTTGAACTTGAGAATTTGTTTGACATGATGCATTTGGTCTAGGTTGATCCCAACAACACTGGTTCTATAGCCCCTGGAGAAGCTGCAGGTTTCCTTAAAAAGTCTGGTCTTTCTGACATAATACTCAGTAAAGTAAGTAATATCTGAGTTTGTCATTTAAGTTGGAGTGAGTCATATATGTTGACCTATAACTTTAAATTCAAACAGATATGGGATCTGTCAGATCCAACAGGAAAAGGCTACCTAAACAAACAAGGCTTTTTTGTGGCATTAAAATTAGTATCTATAGCACAAGCAGGACGCCCTACTACCATGGACAATATAGTTTATGACCTACCCCCACCCAAGATGGTAAGTAATTTATATTTTGATATAAATTATGTAAAATATAAATCTTAAGGACGAAGTTGATTTACTCTTTTTAAACTATTCTTCATTTTTTCCAGGGTGACCTAAAGATAAAACCAGTGACTAACAATGTTCCACCACCAGTTCCACCTGTTACCATTGCACCTGGTGATTGGGCCATGAAAGATCCAGAGAGGATGAAATATGAACAACTTTTTGAATCCCTAGGACCTGTTGGTGGAAAAATACTGGGGAATAAAGTTAGTTTTTCAATCTACCGATCTGCTAGCACAGCCTATCTTTCTCTTTATTTTATTCTCTTTTCATTATTTCTTTCAATTAGGTCAAAGGTGTACTAATGGAATCAAAGTTACCCTTGGACACACTGGGTAAAATATGGGATCTTGCAGACATGGACAAGGATGGAATGTTAGACCGCCATGAGTTTGTTGTTGTGAGTCTTGCTATATTGCACTTAATTTTTTATTGCCTTCTTTTAGATGCTGTGTTTATGCTGGAAAATTTTCTGTTTTTCTAGGCAATGCATTTGGTTTATAAAGCCCTGGAGAAACACAGCATTCCTAACGTGCTGCCTCCAGAGCTTCTTCCTCCAGGCAAGAGAAAACCAGCAGGTGTTGCAGCTCCACCTGTACCACCAGCACCTGCAGCAGCTGCTGTTGCTCTTGCACACCATGCTCCTCCACCTGTACCCCCTGCTCCCGCTCCTGCACCCGCACCAGCCCCTGCGCATATGGTCGGTGCCCCACCAGCAATGCCAGCTGCTCCCTCCCCCGTGCCGTGGGTTGTGACTGCTGAGGAACGATCGAAATACAGCATTCTTTTCCACAAGACGGACATAGACAAGGATGGATATGTGTCTGGTGCTGAGATCAAGGATGTTTTTCTTCAATCTGGGGTGCCTCAAGATGTTCTGGCAAATATCTGGTTGGTGTACAGTTTTTTTCAATTCCTTTTCTTTTGAGGTATAATTAGAATTTAATTCTGGTTTGTCTACAAATTTTGTCATTTTCTTCTAGGGGCTTGTGTGACAGTCATCAAACTGGAAAACTCAATTTAGAGCAGTTTGCTTTAGCCATGTGGCTCATTACTAGGAAACTAAAGGGTATAGATCCTCCAGCGGCTCTTACCCCTGAAATGGTGCCTCCTAGCATAAGGTCTGGAAAAGACGTCATAACAGTAAGTACTTCTTTTTATTTTTTTAAAATGATTATTATTATTGATTAATTGGTTTTAAAGAATTACAAAAAGCTCTCCCAAATATGATAATAATAGTTAATAGAATTAAAACCATGCTAATGGAACTTATTTGTTGACCAAATGATAGTCGTATTGGCTGTGATACTGAAAGACGAACCGTTCCAACCAGTTTACTACCTTGCCAGCAGCTGTAAAATCCAAGTTGTATTATGCTCAAAGTCTCATCTAATTAATTATTTCTCTTCATTGAAAATGGACATTTCTTTTTCTTTTTTTTTTCTTTTTTTTCTTTTTCAAATGTTTGACTCTATTTTACTTGAGTACCTGTACAAATTGGAATCAGCAAGCCCTAGATCTTCAACTACCAAGATATGTGATGGTGTGACATATATTCTGTCTCCTTTTGCATAAATTGGTTGCTCATTCATAAACCAACGTGTTGGCACATCAATAAGGAGACTCCTGAGAAAGAAATTTGTTATCGAGTTTGGAATTGAAATCTAACTTTGTGATAAATAATAATTACCCCGGGCATTGTATGTGTGCAGTATCCCATTGCTTCAAGAACATAATTTTTCTTTGCACAAGTGGAGGAAGTTTTGGTAATTTTTGAAAAGTTGAGTACACTCCCTTGGCATTATCTGCTTCTTCAACAATTTCCCCCTTTTCATTATGAATCACAAATTTTCCAATTTGAGGACAAGTTTCCTTAAAATAATTTTTCTGGTTAAATTGCTTTTGACCTGCTTAACATACTCAGTATTTCTTACCTTACTTTACCGTACTTTACCTTACAAAATGCTTCCATTATTTCACTTCTTCTTGACACTACATTGGGATGTTCCCTCACAAATTTTGGTAATAGCCCTGAACGACATGGTATTCCCTCATTAAAGAGGGTCAATACTTTCGGTGCTGCAAAAGTAATAAATTTAATTGTGGAAATTTGTGGAAAGGCACCACCATCTTTTATAGATATTTTCAGACCATTAGTTGTGTTGATGGCTGCTCTCACTGTACACACCCCAATCCGAAAACGTTTTCCTACTCTGCCACAGCGTGAACAATTTGTCCAGTTTCTCCAATTTGTAAATACAGTGAATCCAAAATTTGGCAAACTTATGTCAGGTGTAGAATGCGGCTTTCCTTTAATAGCAGGTGGCCACACCTGCCGGAAACAAATTGTGAAATGATTTCTGATGTTGACAAAGCCAAGGTATATCTTTCTAAACATACTTTAGTTATATTTTCTGCGAATCCTGCTACTTGCAGTAAATGAACAGTAAGCAGTGTCTTGAATTGTTGACAAGAGTAGTTTCCTGCATCCCTTTCATCAATCGCATATATATGAAGTGACAAACCCCCATCTCTAACTACTATTCGTTTATTCCCATGAAAGGCGCTTGTCTTTCCTGAATTGTCAACTCCTTCCTCCATGTTTTTAGTTCTATTTGTTGCCATCTTCCATGTAATTCTTGTTTGGCTGCCGGGCCGCAAACAAGTTATGCAGTTAAATCTGAAAAGTAGACTATCCCTTTAAGTCCTCTCGTTGCTCAGTATACATTTTTTTTTTTAAATCATTTTTTCTTACTTGATTGTTTCACCGGGAAAAACATAGTGTGCTTTTGGTGTGGAGTTGACATTCTCCTGCAGACATTGATAATAGGTTTCCCATTCTTGAAACAAGTTACTTCTGGCTGTCTTGTTTCCGCCTGGATAATAGCCATCATCATTTTCTGTACTTGCTGTTGCATTTTTATTTGGTCCATGTACCACATTTTTAATATTCTTTAGCTTTTCTTGAAGTCCAGAAATTTTTGTTATCAAATTTCCTGCTACCAGTCTACTCATTGGCATTTGTTTACTCTTCAATTTTCCTTCACCTTGGTACATGTTTTGATTTTCATGCTTTTGAATAAGGCCTATAATTTTTACCAGTTGGTCATTGTTAAGAAAACTGAAGTTAGATGTAGAATTATACAATTTGGCTGGTTGGAGCCAGACATCTGGTAAGGAAGCAACAAGATGACTGGTTTCACTTTCATTAGTCAATCTACTCCACTTTCTAGTCAAATTTTTATATTCATCTTCTTCAATTTTGTTCCTATGTAATGACGGGTTATTGCTACTTTCAAAGTCTTCATACATGTTTCTTTCAACATATATTCCAAAATTACTGGTAACTTCTGTTTCACTTGAGGGTCTAATATTTTGCTTGAAATGAGAAATCTTATTTAATGGTGAAGCAGCAGCTATTGCTACATACATTAAAATCATATTGCGGAACATTTTATATTACACTATTTGCCCGTTGCTAGGCAAATTGTGGTTGGATTTGATTATTGTTGTCCTACAACATTGTTCTTGTATCAGTTATTTCATTCTTTTCTAGGAGGCTGTACCAGCAGCAACTCCATACTCTAACCCGGAGTTGGATATGATATCACGAGACATTGAAGAGCTGTCAAGAGAAAAAAGATTGTTAGAGAATGAAATTGCTCAGAAAGAGGCAGATATAGCTTATAAAAGTGGAGAGGTGAAAAGCTTACAGAGTGAGCTTGATACATTATCAGCCACTTTACGTCAATTGGAAAACCAAAAAGGAGAGGCCTCTAAGCGGCTAAATGACTTGAAGGCTCAGGTATGTAATAATAACCTGCTTGACTGTGTTAAATTATTTTTTTCTTATTTTTATTTGAAACATTTTATGCAAAACCATTATAATTGTCATGAGAGTATAATTGTACATGCCTAGTGTATTTACGCGTTGCTCTAAAGGATTGTTGTACTATTGTCTGCAGGCTTTTTTGTTTCCTGGTATTGACATTACAGACCCTATGCATGATTTGCTTACAGCACACACAATCTAATAAAATAATAATACTAATGCAATGATAAGTTTCCACATTAAAATTGCATGTTTGGGAATCTTACAAAAACAAAACTTTACCTACTTTTTTTTAGTGAATTTATTTAATTTTCAATCCAACTCTTGTGGTATTGTTTTTATTTCTGTGGGGATATTCTTATAGCTGCTATATTTTTGTGTTAGTTGCCATGGTTGTCCTCTTCTTTCCACAATTATAATGCAGTCTGGTGTTCCAGCAACTATTCTTGCATGGAATGTTGAATGTTTTGTGAGAGGGCTCTGATTCATGGGTAAACCTCATTCATTTTTCCCTACATGTGTTTTGGAAGCTTAACTTGGAGATGATTTACTTTAAATTTGTCAATGTTCCATTGACCCTCAATCACTCGTAATCTGTTAAAAGTTGAAAATATAATTTGCTTGGGTAGCGAGGGCTTTAGACAAACTTATTCAGTACATTTTTGTCTTTTTTTTACAGCACTTTTATAAGATGTTCCTGCACAATTGCATGCCGACTATTTTTTTTACCCATTTTGCTTTTATAAGTTTGAATTTTTATTTTATTTTTCTTTAATTTCTTTTTTGGTAGACTGAGGCTATAGAGAAAGAGATAATAGAGAAAGTGGAAGAGCTGGAGGAAGAGACTATGAAGGTAAATATTTCTGATAAGTTAGAATGATGATTTAGTTTAAATTGCTATGTGGATTGCCATCAATGGGAGTTGTTTGGTTCTGGTAAATTACATTACCTTTTTATCTAAAAATGTTTCACACTTATTTGAGTGGTTTAGGAAAATGTATCATGGATTTCCTCACTCTCATTCTCTCTTTCTGTCTTCCTTCCTTTCTCACCACAAATCTTTATCCCCCCCCCCCTTTTTTTACCTTTTTTTCTACATTTGTTCTTTACAATTTATGGGATAGTGGGATTTTGCTCAGCATGCCCAAAGTATGATAGTGGTAGCTGTGAAATTTTTCTAACCATCCCAACAATCAGCTTTCTTCCGTTTCTGGTTTGTGTCGTCACCTTTTACTTTTGGCCTTTTCATTTTTGCAATATTTAGGTAGTTCAGATTTATACTTTGATCTTAGAAACATTACTTTATATTAGTTGTGGTTTAATTTTTCATCATTTGGACCATACAGACATCATCATTTAGGTATGTTTTCACTGCAAATTAGGGTGAGTTGTCATGGGTTACATTTGTAGAATATTTTGTGCATGGTATGGCATGGTTAGTTCTACAATTGTTTTGGGGTTTTTGGCCTTAACTGTAATATGCATAACTCATGTGTTGTCTGCATAACAATTATGGACAGTAGGGATGTGAATGGTGATGGTGGTGGTGGTGGTGAAGGTGGTGGTGGTGATAGTGTAATGGTATTGCAATAAGGAGTTTTGTACCATGTATTTCACCACTACTCCTTGCAGACAGTTTTGTACCAAATATAATTCTATTGTATTGCTGAATTTTGTTTGTTTTATGCATATGTATTTCTTATTACCTTTTTCATTTACTGTGTATCTATTAATTAAGGTTGAATTTCATTCAAATCTTATGACTCATTTACAATTTTTTCATTGTGTTAGGTGGACAAGCTGAGAATGCAGGCAGATGAGCAAGAAGTGGTTTTGAAGGCCCAAGAAGAAGAACTGACAAGTAAGAAGCAAGAGCTTGAGAATTTGAAACAAGAAGAAGCACGCCTTGCCCAGCAGCAAGAACAATTCAAACAAAAATTAGAAAGTCTCTCCAAAGGTCTTCAAGATTCACAGCTTCACATTAGTCAGGTAAATATCTGATGGTAAATTGCGGGACTGATAATAATCCTTGTTTGCTAACATTTAGTTTATCTTATCCACTATTAAGGCCAAAGCAAAGATCACTTTATTGCAAGAGCAACATCATCAAATGTCAGATGCTATCAGTCTGTATGATACTGCAATCAACACAAGTGATGCATCTGGAGTACCCGACTGGTCACTGAGTATTGAGCCTGAATTCAGAAACCCAGACATCAAGAAGCTAATCATGGTTAATGGTTCAAGTCCTACATCAGATAATCCTGTAAGTTCTCTTATTCCCTATAAAAATAAAAAAATACTAGCAGTTTAAATTTTGTTGTTTAATGCAAATTATTTTTCTTATCTAATGTTATTAAAGGAGGGTATGACAAACGGAAAGGATCCTTTCAGTAAGCACAATGGTCCGGTTGATAGCAAGAAGGAAAAGAAGAGCTTATTTGACGATGGTGAGCACTTTTGTTTCCAAATTTTTTACATTAGGTTTTAAGATAACAATGTTTCTAAGAAAAACAAATATCTTTCAGATCCATCCTTCAGACCTACCAAAGCACTAAATGATCCATTTGGTGGATCTAGTGATCCCTTTGGAGGGTCAGCATTTGGAGCGAAGGCAAGTTTTTCCAAATATTTTTAACTATGTATCTGATTTAACACAAAGTTTTTTTCAAACAAAGGTATCATCTCTTTATGTTTGTTCTTTTGTTACAGGATGGGTTTTCATCGGATCCTTTCAATGCGTTTGGGTCATCTAATACAGGTACAGAATAAACTTACCTTATACTGTCTTAGCTCAATTGTTCCAGCTGCATTTAACAAATTTTGCTAACAATAATTTGTTTCTCTATCTAGGTAAAAGTGATCCGTTTGGAACTGATCCATTTGGTGATCGAGCTGGTGCCAAGTCACCTGCAGATGTAAGCTAAATCTGATGACTATGCATTTAAACATTGAAAACAACTTGTTTTTTGTTGTTGTTTTTTTATTGCATATTAATGAAAAAATAATTCTTTCAGCCTGGTAAGGATGCTTTTGGATGCGACCCCTTTGCCATCTTGCATGCTCCCACTGCTGCCAGTGCAGGGGGACCACCACCTCGTCCTGAGAGCCCCAGTCCTGCTCTACCTCCAAAGAAAAGCAAACAGCCACCACCGCGCCCGGCACCACCTCGACCAGCTATGGTTTGTTGTTGATCTCTGCCTTTCACCTTTCACCTTGTTCTGTGCTATTGTAGCAGTGCATTGACATAATTGGCTTCTTTTAGGGCCCCCCTCGTCCTGCTCAACCTTCAACAGCACCTAGCCCAAGTCCTGATCCGAGAAACATTGCCGATGATGGATTTGGAGCTGATCCGTTCACTGGTAGCTCAGCTGGTGGAGGATTTGCAGATTTTGCAAATTTTGATAGCAAGGTAAATTTTATTTTATGTGCTTCTTATTAACACGTTGAGTATTAAAGATTATTTACTCCTATACTTTAACAAAAGGTGCGGTCAATAAGTGGTTATGTTTCACTCAACATGTTAATAAGTTTGTTTTATTGGGTGGATGGTTGGTCTTTTGATACTAACGCTCTTCTATCTCTCCCCTTTAACCCTCTCCTTTTCTGCTTTTCTTTTTTTTTTCCTTTTGCTTTTACTTTTCCAGTGAATTTTGAGTTTATTTGAAGACTTAAATCATCATTTGGTTTATTTTTTATTTTATTTTTTTCCCTTCCCTCCCACTCCTCAGTTTTCTGACACTCTAGACTCAAGCTCCGATTTGTCTCGGGTGTCAACACCATCACGCACAGCACCTTCCCCAGGCTCTGTCACCTCTACCTCAGCTTCCGAGTCTACTCACAGATATGCAGCTTTTGAGTTCACTGAGGATCCATTCAGAAACTATCGTTACGAAGATCCATTCAATATTGTTGATCCTTTTGATGAGGATGCCAATGGTAATGTAGGGTCTTCACCAGCAAACAAATCTGGTTCAGTTGATCCATTTGGATTTGCCTCTTCTCCCGTAACATCAGGTAAAATTTCTCAGCCAATGAGAGAAGAACCTTTGTTTGGAGACGATTTTGGAGATTCGTTCCAGAACAATAAGAAACAGATGAACAAAAATGTGGATGATTTGTCAAACAACAATATGAAATCTTCCAAACCTGATATTCATTCAAGAAGTTTTACTGAAAAGACAAGCAGTAAAGAGAAGAAACATTTTTGGAATAAGGACAACCATCAACATACAAAGTCAAAGGATAAAGAACCTTCATTTCTCTCTGGTAAATTCTTCCGGAAGAATGCATCTCAGAATGGGTCAGATCCATCAGTGGCTCCTGCTACTGCAGCAGCATTTGAGGATCAACAATTATCATGGGCAGCTGCTGAGAGTATGCGCATGGAGGAAGAAAGACGCAGCCGCCAAGAACAAGAAAATGCTGATCTAGCTCTAGCGCTAGCACTCAGTAGGTTAGATTCAGGAAAATAGGATATAAAGCTCTCCAAGAATATCGAAAAAAAGAAACTAGTCAAAAAGTCCTGGTTCTGGCTTTGATGTCTACCACCTGGTGCAGTTTAGAACTTTTGAACTGTTCCCATTTGTTGAAGTTGTGTCCATTGTGCTCATATTGGGTATGTGCAAACAGTTCTCTTAATTTGACTGATATCTTCTATTGGTATGCCGAATATACCCTCACAGTTTTATCAACAGAGTTGTTGGGCAATATCTTATTGTGACCACGACATACCTGACTGAATTCAAACTGACAGTAGGAAGTGGAGACTATGGCATAATGCTTAAGTCTTGTGTGGGCACAATTTTATTTTCCCTTTTAGTAGCCCAAATCATATATATTGTAAAGTCAATAAATTTTGATAGCGAATTATAGTGCTTTGGAATGAGATTAAGAAAAAATGTTCATGTAGAGCATACTGACCGGTGAAGTTCTGTATCATCCATAAGCGCTTGCTTCATGTTACCAATACAGTTATATAATTATTTTTCAGTATAGTTGAAGCTCAGTTTTTGTTTCCAAGTCTGCTACCTGTTCATCCAACTTTGATAGCTCTGGCCTCCAGCACAAACTTTTTATCAGTACTCGTATTGAAATTTGTGCTGTGATCAATGGCAGAGTAAGTTTTAATTATTATTATTATTTTTGTGATTTTAAGTCGATTGTTCTTTTAAAAGTGCTTTAATCTAAATCTTATTTTTATTCACTCAGCTCCTCGTAGTCCTTTCAAATCATTACTATTTTGTCAGAAAACACAGTCATTTGTGATTTTATTTTGTGGTTTGGTGCCAATATTTTTAGTTGTTTGGCTGAGTAACAAGTTAACAGTATATTTTATGCTTCCGGGGCTTTCTATTTGCAATTTTGTTGTCCTTTGAAATTTTCAGTTTGTCTCCTTTTTAGCAAGTCTTACTAGTGACTGACTTTAGGCAAAATGAAAAGCAACATTAAAATAGGTGTGCATTATTGACTGATATGATCTTCTCATTAAAATTTGTTCTTAATGGATATTGATTATCAAAATTCCTTTTTAATTTCTTTTTCAAAAAATTTCCTTCGGCTGCTTGTAAGAACCAGCATACAGCAAGAGCTTGTATATCATCTGTATGTGGTCAATTCGCCCATGTCAGGGCAATGATTCAACGATTAAAACCATACCCTCCCCAAGGCAAAAATGAAAATTGTATCTTTATACTAATTTAATTAAAGCAATATCATAAATTTCTTATTTAGTAGCCTCTTTTGCTCAAATATAAAGGATTACAGTTCTAGTTCCTGTCGTTGTATTCATTGGCGCTCAATGTACACTTCCATCAATTTTTATTTGTGTTTTAGCCATAAGTTTTTTCATTTGATTTTCACTTCCCTTCTATATTGGGCTTACATTAGGCGTTCCACAGCTTGTGTATGAGGCAGTTCGCAGTTTTGAGAATTGTTGAGGATGTGTTGATCTCATTGGCTGAAATTCGATTTTGGTGCACTTTTCCTGTAACATTATTGTATCTTATGTGACAGGTGACATGAATCTAGTCGCTCTTCAACTGTGAGTGCCCATACTGTTATTTAGGATCTGTGATTTTAACACATCCTGTATGAAAGTGTCTTGGTCAGTGAAATATTTTGAAGTCAAGTCAACGATAAGAAAGACCATTGTTCTTACCTGACAATACTGTAGTTTCTCTCCTAGAATGTCTCTGTTAAGCAACATTTATTTTGGCTCATATAAACCTAATTGTAACTTAAGAAAATGTGTAAAGACATAGGGGAAGGTTCAGTGTCTACCGCATTAACCATTTATTGAGTAAACTGTTCCTTCCCTATTACTATTCTTCGGAAGCAGACTAAAATGTTATTTAATGTTGTGTTGAAGATTTACATCAATCTTTATCATATCACAGCAAGGTAGCTAAATTATGAAAGGGAGAAAACTGTCAAAGTCAAGTGTCTTTTCTTTTGATCATCTTTGTTATAAAATTTAGTATATATACACCTTTAAGGTGTTCTCTCAATTTGTGCAATAATGAACATTACAGCAAAGATTGTGAAGTGCTATTAACTGCATTTCTCTGTTTAAGATATTTGCTTCCTAATTTCTATTCTTTGTTAGGTAAGTCAAGGAAAATGTAGTGCCATGAGTATTTTGTATTTCATCTCATGATGATGAGTGAGCTTCAAAAAAAACTGCTGCATGCATTCATAACTTTGCATTTGCATACTTGCTGTTGAAAGGGTGATCAAAGTTTGCAAGCATTTTCTTGTTGTGCTCTTTCGTACTGCTTGGTATTTACAAAATCATAGATAAAAGAGAAAATGGCATATGCAGAAATGTTTTGTTTTTCTAGTAGCAATTGCTTGGAAATATAATCATTGAACACAGTTGGTTACGATTCTTCAATTTAAGATGAGCATTCGGACTAGCACCCCAGCTATGCTTAGGTGTGATTAACTGTCAATACCATCTAGTGGGCCCGAATAGAACAATTATTCTTGTTATGGTCATATAATAGCCTTGTTAGTTTTGCAGGGTTCCATTGTAATGAAAAGTTATTTGCACGATTGTGAGTGTTCCAGCTTTTAGAAATTTTTGATTGAGTGGCAGGGACATGATGAATGATGGCATGGTCATTTTTTTAGATGTAAGTTGTAGAATGAAGTTGGGCTTACACCAGACATAGCAGCTTTGAAAGAAAAAAATGGTAATCTAGTTTGTGGTAAGGGAAAGCAAGGTTAAGGATGTGTATTCAAAATTTTCATGTAATTTGAAACCAAAAGGAATACATTTAATTCTTTTAAATTGAAGCTTGAAACACCACGTTTATAGTAAGTGTATTATTATTATTATTCACATTATTTCTGATTATTGCAGCCAAGGAGTTTTCTAACCTGTGAAATAGGACTAGCATTGTTAAATTTTGGTTGTTAGTTAACTTCTTGGCTGTTATAGTCAAATTTTGCCATAAGAGTATGCTATGTATCATATTAATTAATCATATCATTCTGATAGGTTTGTTTGTAGCCTCTCACCATGTGACATGAGATCTGTTTGAATGTCTCAGTGGCTAAAAAGTGCAAATTTCCTGCACTTCCATTTTGTCATATGTTGGAATTGAGTGTTCATCGCATAGATGTTCCTCAGTTGTGATATTGTTGCCCTTCTTTTTATTATCTTTAAGAAATGTTTCTGTAAGTATTAGACAAATTTTAACATTCCAATTACTGCCTTCTGCTGTTTTATATCCAATTTAATGGATATATTTCCTTTTAATTTTGTACTAGTAATCTGATTTTGAGAAATCCCAGCTATTTCGGTCACAGAGTCAACTAGTAACTAATGCCTCTTCATGTTATTTATTTTTAAAACAAAATTTAGCTACTCATTCACAAATGTACCAAAAACTGATGTTATGTCCTAATTAGGTGGCAGGTTGTAGTTTTGAAGTAAGTGCAATATATTTTTCTTTTGCAATTTGCCTCTGCAGTTGTACATTTTCTTGCCAAGTTATTGTTGATTCAAAGTTTTGTGGCCTTTATAACTCAAATTGGTTGTAGAAACTAGCATGTTGCATTGCAACTGCTCTAAAAAAACACAAAAAACAAGCTCGCATTTTAAATTGAAGAAACTAATGTGTGTGAAGCTGGTGTGCTGTCTCCCTGTTCCTTTACTTATTAGTATATATATTTTTTTTGGAATTGACCGAAGTAGAACTGTTATGTAGAGTATTAATATGTTGTATGTGTGTCTATGTATAAATACGAACTGTAAGTAAGATTTAATTATTAAGTTGTTGCTGTTATTGTGTATATATAAATATATAATGATCAAGCATGCTTTTGTGAAGTATTTGGATAAAATAATTGAGTCAAAAATATCCATTTTCTTGAAATTTCATCATTCATTTATTGAAAAATAAGTGTTCCATTGTTATTTTCTCCTCAAGTGAGACAGGAAAAGTAACTGTGCTGACTTGTAAATAAATAGTTGGTAATTCACCATTATATACGCATCTTCATTTGTCAATTGAACTAAAATATACCCTGCTTTCCCAGATTATCCTTCAAGTTCTCTGTCCCTGAAATTTAGGAAAAGAATAATTTACAGTCTGATAGCCTGGATCGTTGGATGTGGACTTTAAAAAATGAAATGTATGAAACGAATTCATTTGTGCATATCAAGGATGGATTAGGTACCTTTTCTTACTTAATACTGAAGTTTTAAAACAACTACATCTAGGCATAAGTTAAAGGTACTTGTTCACACCAGCTTTCTTGTGGAGGTAAGCCAACCGCCAAAACAAATTTCCTCTATGAACAAATTCAATAAGCCATGAGCATCTGTGACTAGAGACAGATCCTTTCAGTTCCGCATTGTTCAATCTAATCCACACAACAAAATCATAGAACATGTCATTCATTTGAAATAAATACTCAGTCTCTCAACCAGTGCAGAACTAAGAACTAATTGTTGCAGAAAAGAACTAATATGTTCTTTAGCAAAGCAGTAGCTGACACAGCTGACAATAGGAGTTCCTCCGACGCCTGTACTAGTTGTTAAGTTAAATGTACATTCATGAACAATAACAGAATTGCTGACAAAATGTTGCCAATAATACCAGTTGCAAATGTGGATCGCATTCATTCACAACCACAAATTTCTAAGTTCTACATAGTATCACATCCTCGGTCTAAGTAATCAGGAGCAGTAAGGCAGCAGTAACGTCTGCTCCGTTTTCCGAGTATGAAATAAAAATACACTTTCGGTACAAAAATACACAAAAGATCCATAGGTACCCAGGTACCCACCTTTCTGACGGAACCAGACCTGGGCCACCTGGGCAGTCTTTCTATGATGAATTAAAACATCCATAAGTTACACCATGGTTTACACGCATGGTCCTGGGCTCGCCAGTGGCACTGCCCTTTCCCTTTCACCCCACGTTATGATCTCTGTAACTGCTTTCAGGGGCAGGACCTTCAGATTTCACATGACTGTCTGTGGGGCGGGAATCCAGTCGACGTCCCCTGGGGAGGACGTAGTGACGCCAGCGACGTTCACGACGTGGTGGACACCTCGCGCAGTTCGCGCTCCTCGGCGGCGGTCAGCGAGCTGGCGCAGGACGAGGACGAGGACAGCAGTCTCCTGGCGGGCACCGCGTCCAGGTCGGGGCCGCAGGGGCACGTGCAGTCCTTGGCGTGCACGTGGCCGTTGAGCAGCGGCCGGGTGGGCAGCCCCTTGGCGTCACCTCGCCCCACGCCGGGGCTCGAGCTCAGGGAGTCGTCGCCGTCGTCCTCGTGCCGGGGACAGAAGTCCTCGCAGAACATGCGGACCTGTGGGGCAGGCGGGCGCCAACAGCGTCAGTGAAGAGTGGGGGGGCAGCGAGGTAGGCAATCCCGACAAGCAACCGTGTGCAGGGGGCGGCCCACCCGGCCCGGCCAGGCAACGGGGCGTGGTAGGCAATCCCGCCCAGCAGCTGCGTGCAGCGGAACGGCCTACCCGGCCCCACCAGGCGCTAACGGGGCGTGGTAGGCAATCCCGCCCAGCAGCCAAGTACGGCGGGGCGGTCTACCCGGCCCCACCAGGCGCTAACGGGGCGTGGTAGGCAATCCCGCCCAGCAGCCGACTACCCGGCCCCACCAGGCGCTAACGGGGCGTGGTAGGCAATCCCGCCAAGCCCCACCGGGCCCCGCCATGCGTCAAAGGAGAGCATACTCACGGTGTAAAAGGCGCTGACCACTCCGACCACCGAGCCCGCCATGACGTCCCACCAGTGGTGTCGGTGGTCGGTGATGCGGGTCAGCGAGCAGACGAGCGCCCACAGCAGGAACAGCCCCTGCAGCCACGGCACCAGCAGCAGCGTCACGTCGGGCATCATCCGCCGGCGGAGGTAGATCTGCGGCACGAGACAGGACCGTGACCTCGTGAGCCCCCTGGAGACGGTCAGGTGCGCATCCGAGGCACCGGGGCGGCCGACTCACCATGACGTAGAGCGCGGTGAACACCGAGATGGAGGTGTGGCCGGACGGGAAGGACCTCATCGAGTCCCTCACGGCCCACTTGCTGTCCCTCTGGTTGGTGCACGCGAAGTCGTCGATCCACTGACTGGGCGAGGAGCAGTTGAGCGCCGCGTCCGGCCGGCACGTGTCGAGGAAGTGGGGCCGCGGCTCGGAGACGAGGAGCTTCATGGCGTCCGTCACGAACATGACGACGCCCAGCCCCAGGAGGAACTCGCGGTACCATCGGGCGGCGGGGCGCACAGCCGCGCGCAGCGAGCGCCACAGCCCGCCGCCGCGGTGCGTGTGCGTCAGCCCGGCCTCCACGAACCACAGCTGGAGGCGCGAAAAGCAATCGTTAAGGCGTCGGCCTTCGGAAGTCTCTAACGCCGCGAGCACACTGGACAGGCGTGTTTGCATTTGCTGTTAGAAGATCATTCTCAAAACAATTCTTTATTTTCGTGAGTTTCCACAGTCCTACTCGTATGTGAAGGGAAACAACAGATAGGTCACCGCAAAACGTAGACATCGCAGTGGGGTACAATAATAATTCTACTACGAGGGTACTTCGCAAACGAGACACCTGGATTCATCCCCAAAAGGACAGTGGTGAATCGGAGGTGCTCCAGTTTGACGCACCCTCGTGAAAATGTGATGAAAAGCACGGGACACTTTTGACACCACTGACATTTTATTGATTGACCCTTTCCCACTGGGTACATACATTACTCGACCGATTGAATTGTACGAACACAAAATCACTATCTTCTTCACCCCCCGACAAGCCTTACCGCAAGCAGTGGGAAGATGAAGCTCCCAGAGAGGAGGATCCCGATGGTGACGGTGTCGCCATTGAACTTAAAGTTGATCTTCGGGTCGTTGCAGTAGAAGCCGGTCCGCGGCGATGGCATGTACCCGTACTCCACAGCGGCCAGTAGACCCAGCACTGTGCATGGGCAAGGGGAAAACGACGATATTATTAGATCCCGTGTGCCCTCTATGTGGTGCATGCAAGCCGCGTTCGTGGGCACGCACGCGCATCGATTCAAATCGCGCGCGCGATTCTCATCCCTCTCACGTCACTGACGAAATCGATTTAACAACTGGCTGTAATGAGGAATCGAGGGGTGGGGCCTCGTCCACGCCAAGGGTAAACAGCAACTCCTATTTTGCACCAAAGTTGATCGACGATTGAGCTGAAGGCGACGTTAAAGGCATAAAGGGGGACATGGCGATCGGGGGTCAGAAACTTAGGTTAGAAAGCAGACGACGGGTCCGCCTTGTTTGTTTTGAACTGGCCGGAGTCACTGGAGATGCGATTGTGAGTGGCGAGAGATCACACTGGCAGGTGACGTGCACCCCCACCGACGCCACCATTCGGCCAGCCCTTGTCATTGTGGTGACACTTACACCGCGACACTCGCGCCCCTTTCCAATCCACTGTACAATTTTGAACTAGGTTAGAGGTCTGCTTCCTCGGCAGGAGGAGCAGGGATTTTGTTCATCAGGTGTCAGAGGCCGTCCTCGTCCACACCTATATGACCCCGGACACACTCGACGGCGGCGACAACTTACGGGTCGCTGCTCTGTCGCGGTGCCTCATGATCGTCGAGCTCGGTCTCGGTGGCGGGCCGTCCCATTCCCTCCGGGGCCGCGGTCACCAGTCCGCCGAGCCGCCGCACTGCTCCGCGTCCTCCGGCACACTGCGTCGTCGTGCTACTACGGGCGCCCGGAGTCCGTCCTCCCTGACGCGCGCCAGGTCGGCGCCTCGGCTCGGCACATCGCACTCGCTTGCTCTCTAGCTCGGTCTCTGGCGCGCGCTGCGCTCCCTCCTCCAAGTGTCAAGTGGAGTATTGTGGTGGCGTCAGCCCCCCGCGTCAGCTGTTGAGGCTCGGCCCGGCTCGGCTCGTGGATTCGGCTGCTTCGGCCCTCACTCGGCCCCGCTCGCCGCGCCGCGGTTGGTCCGGCTCTGATGCAAGGCGCGCGCCGGCAGCCAATCGCCGCCCGCCTCGGCGCCTCCCGACCCCGACCAGGCCTCGCGGCGTCGCGTGTTCCGCGGCCGCGGCGCTAATCGGCGGGCAAACAGCAGCGGTGGCGCGACGAGAGTGCGGCTCACGGCACACACACGTACACATGCACGTGCAGGCGCAGGGCGGGGCGGGGCGGCCTTGGAGGGGCGAGGGGCAGGGCGCCGGCGGGCAGCGCAGTCACACTCCAACTCCAGTGACAGTGACCAGCATGACGAGGCGTGTTTTTGGGGGACGACACGACATGACCGCCCCAGGTGGACTCTGACCACTCTGACTCTGGACACAGCGGCGCCGGCAGGAGCGGCCGCTGCTCTCACGTACCCGATACCGCGGTTGTTTATCGAGTAGGGGACGTTTTGTACAGGAGCCAGACTCGCGGCAGAGCGCGTGCCCCCGGATCGGTATGGTGTTGGTAGGAGGGGCGCGTTATTAGTCGGACGGTTGCACGTGTGGTCAAAGAACTTTGGGGCAGCGCCAGCAGCAAGGGAGGGTAGGGGAGAGGTCCACATGCCTCTACTTGTTGGCAGTGAGCAGCGCACGCCGAGGCCTACCCTACCACACTCGCGGGCGTGGCCGTGGCGGTGGTGGTGCGACTGTATGAGAGTTTTCAAATCATCGGCTCTGCCCAGCCCAGCCCTTTATCATGGCCACGGTCATGTTTGAGAACTGGGTGTTTTTTGGTCTAATAAAACATTGGGACAACGGTGCCACAACCAAGTGTTTTATAAAATCTCTCGAGAATCAAGAAGATCTTTTGACGACTTGAAAACGAGAGCGATTCATATTTGGAGGGAGTATCAGATAAGAGAGGCTCGCGGTAAATAAGACGGCCGGCAGCGAGCTGCAGCATGCACCGGCGCGGCGGCTGGCGGTCGTCAGGGACTCTCGCAGGTCGCTCACCACACCGCACACGGCGACCTTTTTGCGCCCACAATAACGAACCTAAACAAATCCACGCCCCCCTCCCTCCCCTCCTGCTGACCCTGGGCGGCGTTTACTCGCATTCACCGGCGCATTACCCTGCCCGCTGGCGGTGCGCGTTATATTTCCCTTTTCCGCCTCTGTGCCCCCCCCCGGTGTGATTATGGTCTTCCCCGCCCTTCCTGGGTGCCCAGCATCGTCAGCCGCAGCGTCAGTCCCGCCCCCCATGGAGGGGAGGAGGGACTGCAGGTCCGCCGTGTGCACCCGCGGCCCCTTCAGTGTCAATGTCAACCAAGGTCCGCGGGGCATTTAGATGATTTGACTGACAATCAGCCCTTCCGCTTCTCTCGGTGCGCCGCCCCACGCCGCCGCCGCGTCGCTCCCCGCGCTCCCCGCCCTGCTCCCGCTGGCCGCGAGGGCGCCGGAGGGGGCACAAATCGCGACGCAAAAGGTACGCCCTCCCCCTCCCTATCAGTTTATTTCAAGAGAAACTCTTCAGGAAAAGCGCTTGAGATTATCGAGCATCGATTGTCAAGGAGCCATTCCCCAGACACGTGTTCGAGAAAGGGGCACGGGAAAAAACAATAACTCCAGTGCTTCAGTTTGGGTTCAACGGTCGTTCTGATTAGAATGCGTTTCTTGCGGACGAGCATTAGGGGTTGGCTAAGCCAACAGAGCGTGACCACATAGTGGTCCACAAGGGGAGTGTTAATTAACGGCTGAGCTTGTGGATATCAATTTACCAGCGGTTTCGGAAACGAGAATAACGAGGATCAGTTTAGTTTGCTCCACTTCTGTAGGGCGCGTGTCAGGGTTGTTAACGTTACTTTGAAAATGTATCGCGATACCGTTACCTCGTTACTCTACCCTCGGTAACGCGTTACCGATACCGTTACAGCCTTCGGAGAATTGTAACGCGTTACGTTACTGGTAACGTCGTTACTTCGTTACACGATACATGAATTTAATATTTTTAAAAAATTTCTAGAACGAAACAGTAAGGTGTTACTGTATAATAAGGGGTATTTTATACGTAAAAAAAGCATGTTAACTAAAGCCAAATTTCTTTAAGAAATATTCTTCGTAATGTTGCATACATTGAAATTTAGCAAAAAAGAGCAACACTTTTTAATGTTCTAGACAACGGGAAAATTACACGCGATTAAGTCTGACACCTCCCGCAAAATAAATGCGAAATAATGGTGAAATAGTCGCGAAATACCACCCAAACCCAAATACCGCGAAATAACCGAAATACGTTGAAATGACTCGTACACTGTGTCGCCAAGTCATTTCCCCTTCGACTCTTGAGGAGTTCGGCGGAGCGAAACGGAGGCGACGCACTGCAGTGACTGCCTCAAATATGACCGAAGGAAGCTGTCACCTGCTGTTCCTGATCTTACCATCTTACCCTTCCGCCTAGCCTGCCTCCACCACTCCACCAAGACCAGGCAACACGCCGGTGGCGGTCAGGAGAGCAAAAGGACTGCTGACCTACGGCTGACTCATATGTCTGGGC